GGTTCTTGATAGGTGGACTACATTCTGGGAGATAATCCATTACAAATGTCCTACATGGTAGGATACAGCACACGGTTTCCTCAGAGGATCCACCACAGGGCCAGTTCTCTGCCATCCGTGGTGACCCACCCGGCCCATATTGCATGCAAAGCAGGCTCCAAGTATTACCTAAGCCAGGATCCAAATCCTAATCTATTGGTTGGAGCAGTTGTCGGTGGACCCAATATCTCTGATGCTTTTCCAGATTCCAGGCCCTTCTTTCAAGAGTCCGAGCCCACCACATACATCAATGCCCCTCTTGTGGGCCTTCTCGCATACTTTTCAGCACACCCATGATTTCCACAAATGTTTTAAGAATATATATATTTTTATGTACTTTAGTGGTGTGCAAAAATAGTCACCCTGCTTATTATTCTCGAATAAGAAGTAGCTAATTTGTTCTCAATCATTGAAGTTGCATTCCCAATTTAATTCCATTAATCTCTTTATCTTTTTTCTTCATAAAGTTTCTAATTAGTTTATGAAAAAAGTGGATCCCTTATACCCATACATTTTTTTGGTATGCATGGAGGTCCTTGCTCGTATGTTGAACAAAGGTATTGAGGAAGGAAATTTTGCTTATCACCCTAATTGCAAAAGCGTGCAACTCACATACTTATGTTTTGTTGATGATCTCATGATATTCACATATGGTAGTCTAGCCTCTCTAAATGCAATTGATGTTGTCTTGACATATTTCTATAACGTTTCTAGCTTGAGAGTGAACTATGCTAAGTTAGAGTTGTTTTGTTGTGGGTTATCTACATCACATACCCAGTTGCTTGCTGAAAAATTTGGTTTCAAGATTGGTACATTGCCAATCAAATATTTAGGAGTACCATTGATCACGGGAAAGCTTGCAAAAAAAGATCTCAAGCCTTTAGTCTCTAAAATCATTGAGAGAATGTCCTCCTAGGCTGCTAAACATCTTTCTTTTTTTGGTAGATTACAACTAATCTCCTCAATAATTCAAGGCATCACCAATTTTTGGTGTTTTGTTTTCATATTACCTAAATGGGTTATTAAAGAAATGGAAAAGATATGTAGTGCTTTTCTTTGGAATAATGAGACTCACAGTGCTAGAAGGGATAAGGTGAGCTAGCTACAAGTTTGTACTCCAAAACAAGAGGGAGGTTTAAGACTCTGAAACTTAGCTTAGTGGAATCAAGATTGCATTTTAAAGTTTATATGGTTGTTATTCTCAAAGCCAGGTTCTGTTTGGGTTGCTTGGGTCTAGGAAAACTTCCTCAAGGGTAGAAGCTTTTGGTCCATTAACATTCCTTCTTATGCTTCTTAGGGATGGAGGAAAATTTTAAAACTAAGGCCATTAGCTAGATGGTTGATCTAGCACATACCAGGGAATGGTCAAAACACTTATCTCTGGCATGATAAATGGCACCCCTCAGACCCACTACTAGAAGTTTATGGAAACTCTATTATTCATGATGCGGGGATACCCTCCCAAGCTAAACTAGCCAATGTTATAAGTGGTAGATTTTGGAATTGGCCTCTTGCTAGATCTCCCTAGTTGGTGGAAATCCAAATACCTCTTTTTGATATTCATCCTAGGGAAGGTGAAAATGATTTAGTTAGTTGGTTGACCTCCCTTTTTGGATCTTTCAAAACTAGTCAAACTTGGCATTGGTTGAGAAATAAGCAACCTAGGAAGGTATGGCATAAATTTGTTTGGATTCCTCATGCTATCCCTAAGCACAACTTCATAGGTTGGTTAGCCATACTTATCAGATTGACTACAAAAGCTAGACAGAAGTAATGGACCCCAACTATCTCAGATACTTGTATCTTATGCAATAATAGCTGAGAAACTTCCAAGCACTTGTTCTTTAAGTGCAATTATGCTAACACAATATGGAGGCAGATTAGTACTATGATCAATATTCCCTTTGTGGATTCTTCGCAAAACTTATTACATTAGATGGGGAAAAGGGTCAGAAGAAAATCTTTGCTTAACATTCTGATCAAACTTTCATGGAATGCCACAATCTACAGCATTTGGATGAAAAGAAACAAAAGAGTTCATTTACAACTCTTTAGAAGTGAGAGTACAATCCTTCATGAGATTCAATTTGAGGTTAGAGCTAGAATGCTAGAGTTTGCTCACCCAAGGTCTTCATCACTTCCTATGGCTATTGCAATTCAATGGGGACTTGAAACAATTGTGATAGATTAGTTTTCTGGGTAATAGTAGAATGTGTACTAGCTATATGTTTATCTTTTTTAGTCTCTTTTTTCTTGTAGCAGCTCTTGTGCTGCTTTATGTTGCAAGTATTTCTGGATAAATAAATTCACTTTTTATCCAAAAAAAAAAAGAGTGAAAATCCAAATCTCTTAACATTAAAATTATCAAGATGTTTAATTTTAATCACATGATGGATAAGTTTTAGGTGAAACTTATATTATATCCTACTCATTTTATAATTGTGATTAAATGTGTTGATAATTTTAATGAAACAACATTATGTTTTTTTGCAACCTCTTAGTTTGTTACACCTTTTCATGCTAATGAAATGCATAAAGAAGCCAAAAACCTCATGGATTTGCATCCCATTAATGAAAGTTTGTGACAACGTACATAGTCTTACATGTGTATATGTCATAGTGTTAGATGTGTTATTATACTCTTATTATACACTTGTATGTATACATATGCGTACCCTAATGAAGGATGATTCACTTTTACATTGCTTCTATCATAGCAAGGCAGATCTCTACGCACCAAACCCTATACTCGGTATAAATTTATATTTATTGATTTGTTTATTTTTTGTTTTGTAGAAGATTAAGCGACTTTTGATCAATTCTTTCTCATTTTTAAAGGAAAGAGAGGTTCTGTTTTTTCTTCTTTTTTTTGGTAAAAATGATAAGTTCTATTATTCGGTGTAAATTATATTGATTTATTAATTTGAAATTTAGAAAGATAATATAATGAGATTAATTGTGAATTTAAATTAAAATTTTAATAAAATGAAATTTAAATTTTAAATAAAAAATTTAATCTGAAAGAGTTTTTGTTATATAATATTCAAATTATTTAAGACTTTTCAATTTTGTTTATCTTAGAGATAAAACAATAATAATTTTAATATGAATTTATCTAAGTTTCAATTATTGGCTAACAATGAAAAGTAAATAAATAATCATTATTCTAATATAAAGCAAAAATATTAAAATTTCCAAATAAAATCATAATTTGAAATTAAATCTTTT